GACCAGAGCCAATGTGAAACAGTGCCTCCTAATCCCATCCCGGAGACATGACCCAGAAGGATACCGTTATTGATGGTATTGAAAGTTATGGTTGATGGTATTGGAATTAAACATCTGTGGCTTGTCTTCAACCTTGTAAGTTGCTTTTCCATCCCAGCCCTTTTGATTTAGCATATGTTTACCGGGCACAGATCCTCTTATCCGGGGTCCTAAATACATTTTACTGCAATGGGACCAGAAGCAGATATTTGCAATGCTTTGTCACATGAACCTCAGTCCCATTGAGTTTTTCTGTCAGAGAGAACCAGTTGGATTTACCTACCAGTATAAGTTGTATCATCATTCAAAAATGGATTTCAGGAATCTTGGATGGTGCATCACTATTTCGCAAGTATTGTCAATTTACTACTTTATTCAGTAAGCTTGCTGAAATGGGAAAGGGCATTCCCCATTGCACAAGGGGCCATTTAACAGGTACATTGGCCAATACACAATCAGTTGTACAAATCACACACTCTCAGCCTCAGAGGAATGAAAGGGGAAACCTCCTCTGATTGAATTCGGCCAAGACCCCGCCCCCAATAGATTAGCCTAAGAGTTGCCATAAACCAATTAACAACTTGAACCAGAAATCATTCTGGATTAATGGCTAGGGAATTTACATGTGATCTCTTATTTAGAATGTTTCCTGGATGCCAAATGGTAATGGTGGACAGGAGTACATTTCATACACTTCTGCTAACATGTTAACTGTAACCTTTCATACAAAACATGCTCCGGAGATTGGTAAACCGTGTTTTATTACAATTTTGTTACTCATAGCTACATTGGAATATAGTTGGGGACATTCAGTTGATTCCAAAATGTAATTGCCAAGATCTTAAAATCATAGAATCAAAGAGTTGGAAGAGACCTCATGGGCCATCCAGTCCAACCCCCTGCCAAGAAGCAGGAAGATTGCATAATCACCCCTGACAGATGGCCATCCAGCCTCTGTTTAAAAGCTTCCAAAGAAGGAGCCTCCACCACACTCCGGGGCAGAGAGTTCCACTGCTGAACGGCTCTCACAGTCAGGAAGTTCTTCCTCATGTTCAGATGGAATCTCTTCTCTTGTAGTTTGAAGCCATTGTTCCGTCCTAGTCTCCAAGGAAGCAGAAAACAAGCTTGCTCCCTCCTCCCTGTGGCTTCCTCTCACATATTTATACATGGCTATCATATCTCCTCTCAGCCTTCTCTTCTTCAGGCTAAACATGCCCAGTTCCCTAAGCCGCTTCTCATAGGGCTTGTTCTCCAGACCCTTGATCATTTTAGTCGCCCTCCTCTGGACACATTCCAGCTTGTCAATATCTCTCTTGAATTGTGGTGCCCAGAATTGGACACAATATTCCAGGTGTGGTCTAACCAAAGCAGAATAGAGGGGTAGCATGACTTCCCTAGATCTAGACACTATGCTCCTATTGATGCAGGCCAAAATCCCATTGGCTTTTTTGCCGCCACATCACATTGTTGGCTCATGTTTAACTTGTTGTCCACGAGGACTCCAAGATCTTTTTCACACGTACTGCTCTCGAGCCAGGCATGGTCCCCCATTCTGTATCTTTGCATTTAGTTTTTTCTGCCTAAGTGGAGTATCTTGCATTTGTCCCTGTTGAACTTCATTTTGTTAGTTTTGACCCATCTCTCTAATCTGTCAAGATCTTAATTAGAATTTAGCAATAAAAACCATGAAGTTTCTCTCAGATATATGATATTATTTTTAAAAAGAAAGCAAATAAAAAGAATCTTAATAAGTAAAAATATCTCAGCAAAACAGTTAAACAATTTGGTGGTATTTTATAGGATTAGGACCAATATCCTTCATCAATATTTGATTTTTTTTATAGTTAGGAAACCTGTTAGTGTAGATATACCACACAAGCATGGTGTCTTGCCAAGTAATTTTGCTTTGAAGGTTTACACACACACTATATTAAATATTAATAAAAGATCTGCTGGATTGCATTGGCAATACAGCTAAAAACCAGTCTTAAAAGGAATAATTTATCCCCTGAGGCTGCCAAGACAGCCTCCATGAAGTCTGAACTTCAGGTGAGATGCTTGTGAAACTCTAAAAATTAATTTTCCATGTGTACAGAGCTGGGTTCCTCACAGTCAGGTCTACACGCATGTGATTTGTCTTTGAAAATGTGGTAAGGAAAAGCTCTCTTTCTCACAAATGTTCCGTTTTGGATTCCGTGGACAATACTTGACATGTGATAATGAAATTTTCCTTTTCCAACAAGGATTCTGCTTTAGGTTCCATAGACAACAATCAACTCTTACTTGGCTCTGCTCCTTACAATCAGAAGACATGCTTACATAAAGATATACGCTCATCCTGACAAATAAACAGAAGGACACACAGACTCCATCTATACTGCTATATAAAATCCAGATTATCTGCCTTGAACTGGATTAAATGGCAGTGTAGATTCACACAATCCAATTCAAAACGGATAATCTGTATTATTTGCTTTGAAAATCTGGATTATATAGTAGCATAGATCCAGCCTCAGTGTGATAGAGATGGTGATGGAGTCAAGAGAAAGAGTTCTATCAGGTTTATATAGGGAAATTCAAGCCCCTTCTACACTGCCATATAATCCACATTATCTGCTTCGAACTGGATTATACGAGTCTACAAGGAGGAGGACTAGCACAATCAGCACTTTATGGCTGATACGGTTTATTTTAAATTATAACTGATGCTTATTTATTTATTTGGCAGTTTTCACCTCCATTCGAGGGACTCAGGCCGGTTTCCAACATCAATATTACAGACAGTCATTAAAACATCATATTCTAAATCACACTAAAACCCTAAAATAGCAAAATACAATCATATAATTACAGTGGTCAGTCGTCATCAAAAATCATTATTCGTCATCATCCATCCATATCATAGGATCATGGCTCATTCGTCAAATGCCAATCCCCAAAGCCAAGTTTTCACCTGTTTCCTGAACGTTAAGATAGAAGGGGCAGTTCTGATCTCTAGTGGAAGGGAGTTTCAGAGTCGAGGGGCCACCACCGAGAAGGCCCTGTCTCACGTCCCCACCAGCCGCGCCTGTGAGGCCGGTGGGATCGAGAGCAGGGCCCCTCCAGATGATCTTAGCAATCTTGATGGTTCATAGGGGAGGATACATTCGGCACCTATGCAATTTAATCGTCTCAATGGCTTAGGGTATATACTTTTGTGCAATTACATTTTATTGGTATAATTMTGTTTTCCTTTGCATTTGTATTTCTTATTATTTTAAATTAAATTMTTGTATCGTAATAAGTCTGTTAATGTGTATTTYTCATYTTTGATATTGTGCRATTTAATGGTGGCATTGAATGTTTGCCTTTGTACATGTATGTAARCCACCCTGAGTCCCTCTGGGGAGAGARKSRGGTCTAGAAATAATAATAATAATAATAATARTAWTAWTAWTAATAWTAATTACACTGCCATATAATCCAGTTCAAAGYAGATAATCTGGATTTTATATGGCAGTGTAGAAGGGRCCACAGATGCCTGGAGTCCCAGACTAGAAAGAAATGTGGGAAGGTGATGATGATGCCACTCAGGAACTCTCCGGAGGCGAGATGGTTGCTTTTGTAGCTCCCTGGAGTAGGAGTCACTGAAGTGTCATGTATGAGGCAGGGCTCCATGTTTAACCGGGTGTGTATTCCATTTTAGAGATGGGAAAATATTTAGCATTCTTCACTTCCCAGAAAAATTATACCGAAATTTCAGTTAAAGTACTGATGGAGAAGCCATTTTATAACAATTATTTTACAAAGTTAGAAACATCATAATTCATCAAAAGATTACATACAAACATCAAAAACAGCTCTGTGCAGCACTGAAAGTCAACCCCAGTCAGTTTCAAAGGGTGTATCTTCACAGTAGAATTAATACGGTTTGACACCGTTTCAACTGCTATAGCTCAATGCTAAGGAATCCTGAGAATTTCATGACTTTATTACATGGGGTATGAAGTGTTTGGGATAGTTGGTTTTCCCTTAAGCTTCACAAAGCCCGGTTTGGAAATTAAATTCATGATTTACCTACCCCATCACAACCTCCTTCTCTGCTTTCTTTAGGATTCACCTGTTTGACTTGCCATCACACAATTTCCTCTCCATTTTCTTTCTCTCTTTTTTTAAAAAACTTCTGTCTTTTTAATCATAGGAGTTCATTTCACAGCCCAAAAAACTCACAACATATATAGAGGGGTTATTCTTATGTTTCAGAATACGTGAAAAGTGGGAAATGAAGCTTTAGCTCTCTTATGCTTCTCTCTGTTAGCCTTTTGATAGGCAAAACAAAAGCCTGACAGCAGGGGTTTCAAAAAGGCAATTGAAGTAAGAGCTCAAAAGGACTTTTATGAGAAGGGAGATAACACGAAGAGGGGGAATGTTGAAAGAGGGAGCTCAGAGACAATCACAGGCTTTTTCTCCTGAATGTTTTGAATATCTTTATGTTTGCTATACCCCCTCAGTCCCAAAATAGTAATGGCAGAAGACAAGAATCAATATTGCCCATCTTGACTTCTCCCTCCATAGTGATGTCATCGTTATGTTTACAAACAGGCGAGGAAGAATGTTTTAATTTGCTGATGAAAGAAGAGCAAAGATTGAGCTAATCTATTACTCCTAATGAGGGAGTTCCACAATTGCTCCCTTTTGTTCCCCATATTGACAACTCTAGGATTTAGCCTTGCATTCAGATAACCATGGCAAGCATCTTCTGCCAATGTAAACAGTGAAATGTTTCGGTCAACTGTCTTCCTTTACTTTTTCAGGTGACACATACAGGATTTAACCACCTTCCCTAATTGCAGCCTCATCCCTAAAACAAGGAGTGACATATTGTAATCCATAATTGGCAGTGGCGCAAGTGTTGTTGCTTACATTCTTCATCTAGGATTATAAAAGACAACTCCTTGCCTCTAAGGAGAGGAAAAGCACACTCCACTTAACTGATCTGAGGATATTGGAAAGACTCCAAGAGAGAGAAAGAAAAGGCAGGAGGATGGTGGGCCTCTGGATATCTTTACTTGCTCTCCTGGTGGGTCTTCTGATTCAGTCCTATCTGAAAATGCTGATGAACCGTAGAAAGTTTCCACCTGGACCCCTTCCTCTACCTCTCATTGGAACCCTGTGGTGCACTGGCATCCGATTTTCTACAGATACTCTCACAAAGGTACTTCTTTCAGCTATTTGAAGTAGGTTGGATGTTAGATTATGTTTCTTTCCATGATACCTGCTGGAAGACACCTGTAAAATGGAAAAGGAGATGTAAAATAACGAAAAGGGAAAGAAGCACCAAGGAGATCAACTGATTTTTGTCAACTCAAGCTTTCCTGGCCTTTATTCCTCCAGACCCACTGATGGAGATAAGGTCAGACCATTATGGATGTCAGGAATAGAAGTGGTGGGACAGAAGGCAGTCAGATACAAACACAGTTTGTGACACCGTTTATAAGCACACAGAAAATTGTCAGTGGTAATACTGGTTTGCCAGGCTGGTTCTCAGACTTCTGCAGTGCAAAATGAAGGGTTGGAATATGTTTTGTGAGATGATTTGTTATGTACTGAAAAGTCCTTGTGGTGTGAATGTAAGAATTGTCCTGCTAGCATGTTTATTAAGACTACAGCCCAGATTATAGATTGGTAAGAATGGCTTCTTGCTTACTACCCCAGGACTCATGGTTTTGTTTTGTTTTTTGCAATACCTCCTTTCTACCACAAATGGCCATTCTGTTGTTGGTGAAAGTGTGGGAACAAGAGAAGTGTCCAGCTATGTCCAATGGCATCTTCTGCCAAGTTCTGTTGTGGTCGCTGTTGATTGATGTCATTGGTCTGCTTCTGGCTATGGGGCATGAACCTACACTTTCCACCAGCCACATAAAGAGTGTTTCCAACTAGTGGTAGTGGAATACCACAGTCCTGAGAACTCTGGACATTTCAGAAAGACAAAGAGGTCTCACCTATATTCGTTGGTTAATCTGGGGTGAGTCTGGAGCAGAAATGCAGCACATGAAACCCAGTTGGAGTCCAGTTAGTCTAACCAACATGGGCCTGCTGGACCATTATTTAGAATCAATGATAGTGACAACTTGGGCACGATCCATCCCCACACTGATGAGCATAGGGGAAAAGGAATGGGAGTCATATACAAACTTCAAAATAGAAGATGAGTGTGTATGCCATTGATTTGGCATGCTACAGGCAGTAATGAGGAAAGCCATAGAAAACTGGCCAGCTCCAAGTAGCCCCATTTGACAATGCATTGCTTTTTTCAGGGCCTTGGAATCATTGTTGTCTTGCTGCCACCATCTACATGGGTGTTGTGTACAACAATATTCTGGGCAATCAGTCCTATGGGCAGCAATATCACTGATCAATATTTGTTTTTTGAAGCCCTAAGAACAGTTTCATTTATAGCATCTTGATTTCACATCAATTACAATGGCCTCATTTGTATAGAATCTAGGGACCTGTAGTCTGATTAGGTATTTCAAATTCCTTGCTAGTGAGTACTAGGCTACAAATCCTCTGTATGATGCAGATAGGACAGTTAAAGTGGTACCAAATGTTTATAATTATATAGTTTGAAGAAGTCAATTAAACTTTGTCAAATTACACAGCTGGATTTTGTAGTTTAGGGATTATCAGAGTGGTCTAATATCCAATTAAATTAAATTAAATTCAGGATTCTGTAGGATGCAGCCTGGGTATTTAAAGTGGCATCAAAGTGTTACGACTGTGGATTGTGAAAGAGACTATAGCAATTCTGTTAGACTTGGTTTAATGAGATGACAGCAAAACTATGAGTGATATTTGCTTGGTTCTTTCACTCTTGTGACCCACTCAGACTGAAATAATGTGCACCTAATTAGCAGAACAATAAAAAAGTAATGACACAGAATTGATTTTCAGCATTACTATCTGGATGCACAGAGTGCCAGGTACAACATATCACATCAATAAAGGAGGTGAGAGCAAGCAACCATGAGGGTTGGAGAGTGGTGAGCACGGAGGCAGAGAAAGCAGTCAAGTAATGTTGAATTACTGCCTTTGCTCCTTTGGCTCTCTGAAGTCTGGCAGGAATAGCTCTGTCATTGTGTTGTCGAAGGCTTTCATGGTTGGAATCACTGGGTTGCTGTAAGTTTTTCGGGTGGCATGGCCATGTTCCAGAAGCATTCTCTCCTGACATTTCGCCCACATCTATGGCAGGCATCCTCAGAGGTTGTGAGGTCAGTTGGAAACTAGGAAAATGGGGTTTATATATCTGTGGAATGTCCAGGGTGGGAGAAGCTCTGTCATTGCTTGCTTGGTTGGATTTCTTTGTAGTGATTCAACTATGTCCTCTGCTCTTTTGTGTGTGCTCAGATGCCCCACATCTCCAAAGTCCCTCCTCTTCTGTCCCACACATTTACACAGAGTGTTTCATCTCCTCCCTTTTTGACCTCCCTCCTTTTCTTTAAAGAATGATTTTAAAAACCTTGTGTTTTTCTCCATTGTATGCCAAAATATTTGTCTTTGTGTGGCGTACTTTGATCTATGAAAGTAAATATGGGCTTAATTTGCAATTCTCATTACCGAGATATACGTTTCCTGCTGTTGAATAGACTAACCATACATTTTGAATTCCTAGATCTTTCCCTGTTTCCTAGCTGGTCAGTCTTGCTTTGCTGCAATTCTTGGACAACGTAATTCTTGGACAGCACCAGGAGCAAGCATCCAAGTGCTCTGTCTTTGCATGTACAGGCACACACATGTGTACAATTTCAGCATGCAGGAGGGTCTTGTAAATTCTGATATTTTAGCTACAACATTGTGGTCTTGTCTAATATAGGACTTACTTACTTAGGTGATCCCTCGTAGCCTGAGGATGATGGTCCTCCAAGTCTGGTGTCTTGGCAATGGGTCCGTAGGTGACTGTGGAGCTCTAGTCTCGATCCGCATGTTTTCCCGCAGTGAGGACATCGGTTTCCCGGAGGAAGGTGGCCCCAGTCAAGTTGGCTTGACGTGCCTTCATCTTGGTACATTTCTCCCTTTCTCCCTCCATTTGTGCCTCTTCGAATTCTGCACTGCTGGTCACAGCTGACTTCCACTTAGAGCACTCAAGGGCCAGGGCTTCCCACTTCTAGGTGTCTAAACCACGGTTTTTAAGGTTGTCTTTAAGACCATCTTTAAATCTTATTTACTGTCCACCAATGTTATGTTTCCCATTCTTGAGTTGAGAGTAGAATAACTGCTTTGGGAGACGGTGATCGGGCATTTGGACAACGTGGCCAATCCAGTAGAGTTGATGACATAGGAGTATTGCTTCAATGCTGGTGGTTTTTGCTTCTTCCAGCACGCTGACATTTGTTTGCCTGTCTTTCCAAGAGATTTGTGGGAGTTTTCAGAGGTAACACTGATGGAATCGTTCCAGGAGTTGAGTGTAGACAGTCCACGTTTCGCAAGTGTATAGCAGGGTTGGAAGGACAATAGCTTTATAAACAAGCACTTTGGCCTCCCTACGGATGTCCTGATCCTCAAACACTTCATTCGGAAAAATGCTGCACTCGCAGAGCTCAGGTGGTGTTGTATTTCAGTGTCAATATTGACTTTTGTCAAAAATATAGGAAGAGACCCATAGGGGAGATATCATGAGTCACAAATCCTATCAACACTACTCTGTATAGTGAAATAACAAAGGTCCACCACCTGCCTATCACCGTAAGTAATGTAAAGGTGAAACAGAATTTTTTAAAGATAAAATGACACTTCAGATTACAAAACCAATTAAAATACATTAAAAGCATGTGATTCAGAGTTTCAGGGTGTCTGACACAAGCACATTCTGTGGTGAATTTGCATTCTTGTGCTGGGTTATTTCTGTGGGTAGAGCATGGAGCCCTGCAAAGATGAGTATCTACACATGTGGGTGTTTGCAAGGGAAATCAAAGGGCACATGGAAACGCACAGGTCAAAGCAACATGGTGAGTCAAAAGGAGCACATTGGAATTGTTGTTGACCAAAGCAGAAAAAGATACAAATGGAACACCAACAACATATTATTCTAAATAATGGCACAAGGATGCAAACTCTGGTCTTCAGAGTTCCATGGCAAAGAGGAATCTGTCCATATGTAATATGTGACCAGATATACAAAATGGTAAATTGTATAAACTACACTAGACTTGATTTTTACACATTTTCATCTACATTGCCATATAATCCAGTTTCTGAATCCAGATTATCTACTGTGCTGTCACACGCTGGGCCTGAAATAATGTCTGTTTACAGGACATGCCTTCTGTATGCCCAACGGGATGCCAGGGTGCCTCAGCTGAAGGGCCCCTTAGATTTCCCAACACAAAGTTCTATTGAGGCTCAAAATAAGTTCAACAAAGTTCTTTATTTGGGCTTAAATCTTCAAACAAATGAATTAAATGCTTTATACCCTTGGAAAACTGGTAGCTTCCTCAATCTGCTATCAAGAGCAGGCAACTGGTGATAAACTGTTTCTTTCTTTCTTAGGGGAATCTTCTGACCCCTCCCTGGGCAATCTTTCTTTACCTTGCTGGCATGAGCCCCTACTCCCGGCTTCAAGCTGCTTTATGGACAACCCGAGTGGTCCCTTACCAGACGAGGTTGCTGTAGATCTGCCAAGCCGAAAGGTGTCCTTTAGTTTTACTCCATGAACGCTGTAGGAACTGTCCTGTTGCCCCAGCAAAGGCTGGCTGTATTCCCCCAGCAAAAGCTGTGGGACTATCCCTTTACTCCTCCAGCAGAGCTGTGAGTAGTGAAGCCTTTGTGCAGGTGTGATAGAGAAACCCACACGTCCTGCTGTTAGGCTCCAAACAGTGAGACTGAACAAAAGTCCTCCTTTGCCTCCAAAACCCTGGGAAAGGGGCAGGTCTAAAGACTCTAACAATGATTGCCAGGTTGCTGGCCCTATGACTGCAACTTGGGGAAGCTACCTGATTGCAAAAAGCATGGCTTAAATAAATTCATACAAACTAGCAGTGCAAGAAAAAGAAATTCAAATCTCCTGGCACTGCTGTGCCAGCACAATCTACTTTGAACTAAATTATATGGCAGTGCAGACTCATATAATCCAGTTCAAAGCAGATGATCTGGATTGTATGCGATAGTATAGTATCCATAAATAGATGGGCAAATTCACCGAACCACAAAGACTTGCTT